AATATGCCACTCCCACTAACAAAGAAAATATCCCTTACAGTACGTTTATAATTGTATAAGCTGAATTTTTCATTTCATCCCTCGCAGGTGAGAATGCTGTTTTAACAAGACATAAACAACTAAATCCTCTGCTTTCAATTTTACATGTATGATGATCTGAAAAATTGGCAGAGATTAGCCTCAGAGGCTGTACACTTCAAAGTTTTTTTCTCCTCTGCCATCCTAATGGGTTTGGTGGACAATGTCCCTTGTCAGGTGAGTTACATGGTGGGCAGTAGGAATATCCTGACATTCAACTAGGCAATAAACAACTCTAGATAAGGGCCGGCCGAGTGGCTCAGTTGGTTAAGAGCTCGCTCAAGAGTTTGAGCTCTGAGCAACAGCGGTTCGAGTCCAGCCCGAGCTGAGCAGCCGCTGAGCTGCCAACAGGTAGCAGGATGGCTCAGCTTAAAAAAAAAAAACAAAAAAAAACAACTCTAGATAGAAGTGACTGCAAGCCATATGACTATATATGTATATATCCATCCCAATATATAAAAATATCTCTGATTAACCTTCCTTTGCAAGCTCCCCCCAAATGCCCACAGTCACTTCAACACTTCAGCATTACCAGACATGAAGAGACTGAGGGGAAGTTGGGGTAAAAAGAAACAGTGGTCTTAACCATTTGGGTTACAATGTTCCACTTTTGCAAATTACATTCCAATTTTTTACCACATGAGCACATTGCTTAGGCCTCTTCTGGGCCTTGAAAGGGGCCTGTCCAGGAGGGATCTTAAAGCTTTCACTCATTGACTTCCTGGCAAATTTGTCTCAGCCTCCAAAGCTCTAAACATCATCTAAGCCCTCATCCCCTCGCTCCTGAATTATGTCCATCGTCTCTTGTTTCTTCCTTGCCCCTTTCAGTTTCTTCTTAACACGAGGTCCAAAATGATCCTGTAAAAAACGTGTCATACCTCTGCTCAAAAGCCTGCAGTGCGTCCCCATTTCATTTCGAGTTTAAGCCAATAAGAGTCCAGATGACCCTGCCTGACCTGGCCCGTTGCCTCTCTGGCCCTTCTGCACTCTACTCCAGCCTCCCACAGTTTCAGGAATGGCCAGGCATGCTCCCAAGGGGGTCTTGCACTCCCTGTCCGTGCAGCCTGGACTACTTCCCCCAGATAGCGTCATGGCTCCCCCTCTTACCTCCTTGTTGACCTCCCTTTATTACTCCCTATCTCTCATTTCTGCTTTCTGTTTCTCCATAGAATGTGTCACTATCGATTGTCTGTCTCCCTCCTCTAGAATGTGGGCTTCATGAGGTGCAGGTCTTGGTTCTGTCCACTGCCATCTCCCAGTGCCTAGAAGAGTGCCTGACTAGGTAAACATGGGGGGGGGGGTCTCTGCCTTAACCTTTCCTTTCTCTATCCCCCCCAGAAGCCCACAGGACCACCTTCTGAGAAAGGTCAGTGAAAGCACACTTACTGGGTGGCCAGTTTCCCGCAAAGAGAAGAGCAAAGGTGAAATAGTGACAGGGTTTTCTAGCATTTGAGCAAGTGGTGCTTACAAAGAGCTGTCTTCTTGTGAAGTGAATCACCAGAGCATTTGATCACTGACCTCCTGCCCCTCTTCCTGCTGTCCCCGAAGATGTAACCCAGGGTATTCATGATAGTAATAGGAAATTGCCAGATCCTGTAATATAATTTCTCTTCCCAGTTCAAAGGAAGGAATACAAATGAAAAGAAAAGGCAGAAGGAGACATTTGAAATGCTTGTTCTTGTTTATCTTTCCATTTTTCTTTCTTCTTCTGACTTAAAATCAAATGAACCAGAAAATATGACAGAAAAGCAAGAAAAACAGGCTGTTATTAGAGCATCCCACTTGGTCAGAGAGGTGTTGGCATTCTGGTGTGACAAGGAGCTTAGTGGCAAGGAAGGCAATGTGGCCTGTAAATACAAAATGTTTTAAGTTGTTAATGTAATACAACATTTTTCAAAAAGTTTTAAAAAGGCAAGTAAAAGCAATTATAATCCCTCCACTGCGACAGAATTCTCTTCTAATTTTTTTCTCATATGCGTACACTTTCTCATTGTGGTAAGAAACACACAACACAAAATTTACCATCTTAGCCATTTTTAAGTATATGGTACAGTAGTATTTTGAATACTTTTTATATACATGTTATATTTGTACCCTTTCTATGCTGCTTTTTGTCTCACTTTTCCTCATATCAAATAAATCTTCCATGTGGCAAATTTGTCTGCATGCTTGTGATTTTAAAGATGCATAATATCCTATTACATGGCTGTGACATTTTATTCACCTATAATTGGACATTTAGGTTGCTTACAATTTTTCACTTTTCAAAATATTATGAACTTTTAGTGCATATAGTGTTTTTCTCTTTAGTATTTTCAATGCTATTCCTGGGGTAATTTTCTAGAAGTTTTCTAGAGGAAACAAAGTCAAAAGTGATGACTCTTGCATGGTTCTTAAAAAGTGCGATAAAATTGCTTTCCAGTAGGTTTGTACCAATTTACAATGATGCCAGTGAAACATGAGCACACCAATTTTGCCATACTCTCACTGGTATTTGATACAACCTTTTATTTTGCTGATGTAATACTTTTAAAGGGTTGTTGTTGTTTTTTAATTTTAGTTTTCCTATATCTATTTTTCTTGATCATTTCTTCTGTTGGGAAACTCCAGTTCATGTGACTTGTGCCGTTTACTTTTGGGAGGTTGTTTCAATGTTTTTCTCACTCCTTTGCATGGGCTAATATATACACTAGAGATTTTAACCCTTTATCATGTTTACTGTGACTATTCCCCACCCCTTATCTGTTTTTAATTTTGGGTCATACAGTCATCTAAAGCAATTTAACATTCTTATACGGTTCAGATCTTTCCAGTGAGGTTTCTCCTATCACACGGTGTCTCAGAAAACTCTCTCCATGGTATCTCACTCGGGTCTTTAATGAAGGATTTAATTCTGCTTTACCTTCCTAATTTTATTTTCTATGTCTAATTATTTAACCCATTCATCTTGATGTATGATAGGTAGGTCAAATTGATCTGTTCCTTAAATGCTAGCTAGCGAGTTAACCAAGGCTCCTCCTTTACATATATTGGAAGGAACCCTTGAATAACTAAGGCAGTTATGAAGCGTTCTTGTGTGCTGGGGCACGGTTTCAGGCCCTGCGGGAAGCGGGGTGGAAGGGACAGCCCCCAAAGGACTTAGAACGCGGTTTTGGCTCCATGAGAACAGAAAAGGGGCGATAACCGGAATGAAGTGTGGGACTGCACCTAAATATCCGCTGTGTATTTTACCTCGTCCTTTCTCTTCAAAATCATAAACACGGGGGGGAGCGAAAGCACTTCTGAAAATTAAAGACCACTTGACCCAGAGGTCTTCCTAACTTCCTGAAAGAGTCCTTTTACGTTTCCACGATTGAGGGCTCTCAGTTGACCGACTGCAATACATTCACTGAGCACCCGTGTGGGGAGCAATGTGCTAGGCACCTTGTGGGACGCAAAGTAATCGCTCTGGGGCGACGACGCGTTATGTCGAGTGGTGACAAGGATCAAAGGGAGATGAGAAGATAAAATCTAGGCAGATAACCGAGTGCAGAGATGGCTCCGCCGTGCAGCGTTGATGGTGTGGGGTACGGCACTGTCACTATGAAGAGTTGTGCCCACCTTCTGTCTTGCCTCTCACCACCGCCCTCCGCGCAGTCGGTGGAAGCCCCTGCGCACGCAGACAAGATTCTCCACTTGCTTTCCTACGCTGGGCCAGGCAGCCAAGTTTACACAAGTGGACGTTTCACAGCGTTTGCAAGGGTCTTAAATCCTGGCGGAGAGCCACGTGTACAAGCCTGGGAATCAGAAGTGCCCGCCCTTAACCCCGCTGCTGCCCACGAGCCTGAAAACTCAAGTGACCACACTTGGATAGCACGTCTGAACCCCTGGTCCTGGTTCCCACCCACCCACTCCAATTCGCGGTTATCTTTCTCTCCGGGCACTCATAGTATGCAGACCACAAACCCATAACCGCTCGTTTTTGCTTTTTTTTTTCCTTCTTCTTCTTTTCTCTCCCCGGGACCATGTACAATACTGTTGACTTTGCATCTAAACAGGCAGGCAGGTGGTGGGGGACTTCTACCCCGTTCCCAGTTTGGCCTGAAGTCACTTATCTTAACCCATAGGCAAGATGCCATTTTCATCTTGAAGAAAAAAGGATCCAGTCCAGCTCCCCAAATGTGTCAATAGTGACGTCCACCTTGGCAGATTCGCTCTCGGGAAAGACCGGTTGCGGCTTCTCCCCAGGACAACGGTCTCCCCCACACACACCCTCCACTGAGGGGGTTCACCCTCGGGGCCACCTCGCCTCGCCCCCTCCCACAGGCTGGCGGGACCCATGAAAAGAGGAGTAAGTGCCCCCTCAGAAAACGCGGGTGGGTCTCAGGGCGCGCAGTGGACTCGGTAAAGCCGGCTGTCCCCTCCCCTGAACTGCGCCTCCGGGGGTGGGGGTGGGGAGGCCGAGCGCTGCGGAAGGAGTGAGAGTGGCGCCTGGGTGACAGATAGCCGCGGAGAAAGTCCACCGAGCCTGTGGCCCCTGCGCTGGGGGAGAGGCGGGGCCGATGTGCAGGAAGATGCAGTGATGGGACCAAGAAGAAACAACCAATCCCAAACCACCCACTTGTGTTTCTCACCCCGAGTTCCCCGAGAGCAGCCAAAGGACCCCCACAGGCTGCGCTGCGCCTCCCTGTCCCCCAACGGCCCCTGCGTCGCCTCGTGTGGGTGGGCTTCGAGCTCCCTCGGGGTTTCGGAGCCACCACGTGACTTCCACGAAGCGCTGGGGCCCCAGGGGAAAGCTGCGACAGGGGTGGGATTTGGGACCCCGAGGTGCTGCAAGAGGAGGAAATGAGGCGGGTTGGGAGAAAGAGGGGGCGGGGCAGACTTGGGGACGTGAAGGACGGCGGGCTGGGACTGGGGGTGGCGAAGCCGGGAAGAGGCGCCGCGGCAGCACACGCTTGGAGAGTGGGAAGCCCTTAGGGGCGGGGCGGGGGGCTGGCGGCCTGCAGGTGTGGGCGCGAGGATGCCGGTGGCTGGAGAGCTCCAGTAGGCAGCGTCCCGCGTCCAGGGCGCGGCCGGCCGCGCGGCCGCTCCTCCGCGACGCTGCGCGGCGGGGGGGCTGGACCGGAGGAGCACCCGGCATGTCGCAAGGTCTCCCGGCTGCCGGCAGCGTCCTGCAGAGGAGCGTTACGGCTCCTGGGAACCAGCTGCAGCCACAGGTAGTGAAATAGAGACTCAGGGAGGACAGCAGGGATGCGGGGGTCGGGCACCGGGGAGCGCGAGGAGGTGGGTGCTCGGTTTCGGGGGTGCTGACCGCTGAGTGCGGGAGTAGGGGCGCGAGAGCGGTCCAGGGGCGCACGCATGGTACCCGCGGCGTCCGGGATGGTGACCCGGCTCCTGCGTCTGGGGAGGAGAGACCCGAGAGCGCCCACGCCTGGCTGGGTCGCACACGGTCCACGTTCCCCCGCACGCGTGGCCAGCGCTGCCCCGGGTGCCGCGCCATCCACGCGCTGCCGCCTGCGCGCGTGGCCCTTCCCGGGAGCTCCGAGTGAGGGCCAGGGCGCAGAGAGTTGGGAAATTCAACCCGAAGGGGCAGCTCAGCGCAGGCACTCCCAACATCTACCCTCCTCCGGCTGCTGCCCGAATGGGGAACTCGGGACCGATCAGCCTAGGGGTGCGTGGTGTGGGCCAGCAGTGGGAGGACTCCACCCCCAGCGCTGATGGAAACCCCTCGCCTGCAGCCAGTCCTCTGCGCTGTCCAGGCAACCTTTACAACTGCGTACTCTGGAAACTGGAGACAAGGTTGCCGGCAGGGACTGCTGTCAGAGACTTCCCACCCAGCTGCTGTAGGGCTGAGTCTTTTAAAAGTTATGTCTCCCTTCTCACTTCGGTGCCTGGCACATAGCGTCATCGGGTGATGCTGGAGAGTCAGATCTGAGTTTGGACCTCGGTTTTGCCACACACAGGCTGAGTAGCCTGAGGCAATTTGCTTAACCTCCCTGAGCCTGCGTTTCCCCACATGTAAAATGAATACGTGTGATAAATACCCACCTCTCATGATTTTTGTGAGGAGTAGTTGAGATAGGATTAATAATGTACCGCAACGCTGTGCTCCCCGCTCTTTCTGTCCTGATAAATGTTTCTGCTGGGTTGTCAGGTGTGACCATGTGATAGGTGATAATCCAGTTTAGAGTGTGGGCTCCCAGACGGCCGGGCTGCAGGCAGCTGCATTTGTGCCCTGTGACTTTCTAATTATGAAAAACAAAGAGGTATGATTTGGAGACAAGTACAAGGGGCAGAGGGGTGGGGGGCAGAGGGCGAACTCAATACAAAAGAGAAGCAACTTCAACAGAGGTTATTGAGGGCATGCTGTGTACTGGGAGCTTTAAGATAAAATCTTTGTTTTATCTCATGCCAGCCCCAAGCGTTAGCCTTGGTTACATCTCATGTATAGCTAAGGGCTGTCAGGAGAGCACGTATCAATTTGTTCCAGGCACTCATCTACAGTGCTTGGCAAATGGCAGGTACTCAGTTAACACTATTGAAAGAATGAATGAATCACACAATAAATGAGAAAGCTGAAAATTCAGAGAATATGGTCCCCAAGGCCATACTTACAGTAGAAAACAAAACCAGGAGCTGTGTATTTCTAAAGCTAAAGTTTTGTTCTCTGTACCACATTTTCCCCCTGTGGTGTTCTGGTTCTGATTATCCAAATTACAGTTGCCTCTACAAGACTACATTGTAACACCTTGTGTCTGTTCCCTTAAGCACTGTCTCCAGGCCTCTTGTATATATTATGCTATTTATGTATATGTCATTTACTCTTCTCCTTTTGTAGCATTATATTCTTGCATATGCTGAAAATTCTTTACCCACAGTAACTTGGGGAGATAGTATGTGTTTCTCTTATTCGGAATACAAGAGCAGATAAAATGATAGCTGAAAATATCCATTATTTTATGTTATCAGTATTTGCTTTCAATTAACATTAATAATTGAGTAACTTTGCTATGTTTGAATTCTACTAACCTCTTGGCTTTTGAACTTTAAGGTAGTATTCCCTGCGTGCCCCCTCTCTGCCTTGCTATCTTCTCACAGGTTTCTGGAAAGCAAATGCTGCTTCCCTCTCCATGTTTTCTTTAATTGAAGGAAGCGTTTTTACCATGGTAGGTGCATTTTGCTGCCCGCCTGTTTCAGGATAACTCTTAGAGGATTTGACTAGGTTTGGTTACATCTCACCTATAGCTAATGGCTTTCAAGATACATCATAAACTTGTTTTCTGATTTGCTCCAACCTGTGAAACAAAATGTCAATTGATCATGGTTCAAATGAGTATATTGTCAGCGGTGTTTAATCATTTGGTGTGCTGGCAGAGTCATGTGGTTACAATGTGTTATAAGTGTAATCATGATCTGCACACGGTATCAAAAGTACCTGTTTTGTGTGTGGTGGTGTTAGGCCTGGCACAGAGCACGTTCCGGATAGCAGATGCCTTCTGCCTTTTCCATTCTCAGATGAACAACACTGACACCACAGCTCTCCCAGGCACACGCCCTGTGGGGTAGGGGTTTATGAACGTTGGTTTGGAGTCCAACAGACCTGAGTTCCACTTCCCATTCACCCACTTACTAGCTGTAGTACCTGGAGCAAGTCCCTTAACCCCTGTGAGTTTCTTATTCCTCATCTTTTAAATGGCAGCCCCGCCGCATATTTCTCAGGGTAGTCGTGGGGAATAACAGCTAAGTGAGCACATGGGGAATACTCCTTAACAAGGGGCTACTGTTAGTTACCTCACTGATGTAACACCAAGCGCTGCTGCGATGGCAAACAAAAGGGTGAATGCTATGAGCAATGCTGAATGAAGAGAGAAGGCAAACGGGTGAGGCGAGGGGCCTCCATTCACTTCTGACCACACGTTTCCCCCTCCCCCCCTTCCCCCAGAGCCCAGAGGACGATGACAGGAAGGTCCGAAGGAGAGAAAAAAACCGAGTTGCTGCTCAGAGAAGTCGGAAGAAGCAGACCCAGAAGGCTGACAAACTCCATGAGGTGAGACTAGGTTAGGGCAGAGCCACATGAGGGCCACAGCGAGGGGCCCCGCCCTCCATCCTTGCCCTGTGGTAGTGGCCCTGAGGTCATGTTCTGCTCATCACCAGTGTGACCACGTGCACGTCTCATTCCGCTGCGTCCTTCCAGCCCAGTGTTCTGATTCTTCACTCATGGGCCTCTTAATTTCTTCTCCCTCACCCACTGGTTGCATCTCACACTCACGTTTCTTTCATTATAAAACAAATCAAACCAAAGCTGTTCTTGCTCCGATTCCCTTTCAAGCTGATGCCCATTTCTTTTCTTTTCTTCCCCTCAGTTCCTTAAAGAGAGACCTGCTTTCTCCATGGCCTCAGTTCCTGTGTATTCCCCAGTCCTCTGCGATTTTGTTCCTGCCCCTCCCCCACCCACCCACACACACACACACACACACACACACACACACACACACACCCCTACAGAAGCTGCTCCCACTGAGCCCACTGGTGCCCTGGCATTGCCTGATCCAGGAACCTCTTTCTACGCTCATCATCCTTGACCACCTCACTGGAACATTTGACGCCACTGACCCTCCCCTTCTTGAAACCTTCTTTCAAGGCCTTGAGCGTCTAAAAGACCACATTTCCTACTTCTCCTGACTCTCTTAAAAAGTGGTTACTTTTTCTCTCAGTTTCTTTGTTAGATTTTTCTACCTCTGTTTCCTTAAATATCATTGACCAGCGTTTCAGGCTCTTCCCCTTTTCCTTCTCACTATGGAAAATTTAACCTATAAGTCTGTTCTCCCGACATCAGTTACATCAGGCAGGACCTCTGTTCTCGCCCTAACGCCATACCTCCAGTGCTTACTTCCATACTTCCAGATGGGTCTGCTGCAGGCTCCTCAGATGCAACACAGTCATAAGAGAGAGTCTGTTAACCCTAAGACTTTCCCTTCTCACTGTCTTCAATTTGTACTTAATGGAGCCACCTATCTTTTTCATCACCCAAATTAGGAACCTGGGATTTATTCTAAACTCTTCCATGTTCCCTGACCCCTATGCATAATCCCAGATCATCTCACAGCCAGGACATGGGGACCACTCCATATCAGGAACTGGCCTCAAAGGCATCCAAGGGTCTGTCCAAGGACTGGTGGCAGTTCCGAGCTCTTGCCTTTGCACGGGCGTTGGTGTGAACAATTACGAATTTTAGTTTTAACTCTCTCCTGCCGTGCTGTTTTGCCATAGGTTGCCTCAGTGAGGCCAACCTAGGGGCGTTGACAGCAGAGGAGACTCGGAGGTGTTTTAAGGGGAAATGACAATCTCTGAAAGTGCTTTGACAATGAAGAGAACAGGTTGAGAATGCACCTACTCCCGGGAGAGGTGACCCACCAATGTAAATTTACAGCATGGCATCAATGGTAAATGGCAGATTCTTTCCTGGAAGTAGGAAGGCTGGGCCCTAGAAAGAGATGAAGGTCTTCAGATGAGAGTCAGGGAAGGTCCTTCCTAGCTTTTATTAGTTCTGTAAAATGTCCTCAGAAGAACTGCAATGCCCTATGCCTCTTTTCTTCCTCCCCTCTTGCCTCCTGAAGCAATCGGGTAGTAGCTTCATGTTCCCGAATAACCCCCAGTGGGTACCTGCGTCTTACAGCGCATGGTCCTGTATTCAGACCACGTGTGCCAGCCGGACAGCCCGGGCCCTTCCCCTGAAGTAACTTCTAGTCTAAGCCAGGTGCATTAATATAAGAAAACACAAGAGGACACTCGGTTGTAAGTCCCAAGTGATTATGTGTATGGAGGCGATGAAATGACGTGAACAAGACCTTTCATGGAGCAAGGTCAAGTAGATTCATTCCACAGATATTTGTTAAGCACCATTGTGGGCAAGGCATTGCCACTGAGTCACAAAGACAAGAATAAGATCTTTTCCCTGCCTTTGGGAAGCATGGGAGCTCCCCCCAGAAAAAAGTATGTTAGTTTCCTATGGCTGCTGTAACAAATTAGGACACATTCGGTGGGGTAAAACAACAGAAACTTGTTATCTTTTTTTTTTTTTTTAGATTTTTTTTTATTGGGGAATTGGGGGGATGGGAACAGTGCTGGGGAATTGGGGAAAGGGGAACAGACAAGTTGCTGTCGTTTTGTTCTTCAATCTAGTTGTGGAGGACGTTGCTTCACTGGCCCAAGTTGGCACCATCATTGCGCTCTTCTCTGGCGAGGCAGATCAGTCGCCGGCTTCTGGACGGCCGCTCACTGCGGCTGCTGGCCGCTCATGCTGGCTGCTGGCTACACACGGTAGCCCATGGCAATCCACTGCCACAGGGACTGCAGCCCACGCCGTCGCCGGCGACTCAAGGCAGCCCAGCTCCAGGTTGAGCTGTTGTTCAGCATCTTAGCTGTAGAGGGCAGTGTCACTGGCCCTCATATGTGGGATCCGAACCGGGGCCCTCTGGCATCCCAAGCGAGTTCTTAACCATCGCGCCACTCGGCCGGCCCAGAAACTTGTTATCTTACAGTTTTGGAGGTCAGGCATCTGAAATGGGGCTCACTGGGCTAAAATGAAGGTGGCGACAGGGTTGTGTTCCTTCTGGAGGCTCTGGAGAAGAATTTGTTTTCTTGCCTTTTCCAGCTTCTAGAGGCTTCCGCGTTCCTCAGCTTGTGGTCTCCTTCCTTCTTCAAAGCCAGGGCAGCCTTTCTCATGCTGCCTTACTCTGACGCTTTGTCGGTAGTCACATGTCCTTCTCTGATTCCTGACTTCTTTCATTTAGAAGGACCCTTGTGATTGATTACATTGGGTCCACCTGCATAATTCAGGATCATCTCCCCATTTTAAGATTCTTAACTTAGTCACATCTGCACAGTCCCTTTTGCCATGTAAGGTGACATATTCACAGGTTCCAGAGATTGGATGTAAGCATCTTTGGGGTGGGGGGTGGGGAGAGGAGGGAGGTATTATTCTGCCTATGACAGAAGGTAACAAATCATTTACTACAGAGTCAAGACGGGTCTCTCTCAATTTCTGTCGTTGTGGGATTTGATAACCAAATGCACCAGGTGCCTGGTTTACTTAGGGGTGTGCCACACTGACCGCCACCTGATCCCTCTTAGAGCCATAGATGGAGGGCCCTTCCTAGCCTGTTCTGCTGTCCATAGACATGGCTGATTCTGCCAGGTGCCTTTTCCAGAAATGGGCTGATTCATCTGAAGCCCAGCCCCTCCGTGGAGGAGCACGCTCTCCCCCTTTTTCTCTGCAGCGCTAGCAGAGTGGATCCGGACTATGCACCACGAGCAGATCACCTCAGCGAGGCCCGTTTTGTTGAGAACCACAGTGTCAACAAGGGCCAGGACAGCGACTCCAGTCATATACAGACCCCAGAGCTGGAGTCCACACCTTCACCATCACGAGCCACACACAAGTGTCTTTGGTCCCAAGTGTGAGGGAGCAGGTGGCTGTCTCAGGAAAATGGAAAAATCCAGTCCTTCTCTAGAAGAAGCAGAAATCATCTCTGGACCAAAGAGCCCCATATGGATAAACCCTCCCTTGTTAATTCCTTGCTCCTTCCAGGGAGGACATCATAGTATGAGGATCTATGTTCTCTATGGCCAACAGAGTGGAAAAAAAAATAGTAAACATAGTTAAAAAAATGACTATCTTTTAAACTTTGAAAAAAATCTACATATTGAGAGTGGAGTGTCTAGTTAAAAAAATGTGGTGAAGAATAATTTTACTGTGCTCCAGTGAGCTGAGGGCAGAGCACCTAGCGCACCTCAATGGGTCATGGCAGGAAGCCCTTCAGGCCCCCTGGGGCTCCCAGGCCACATCTAGGATGGGGGGAAAGGAGAGGAGACACAGTGCGTGGAAACTTTCTCCTCAAATCTGAATGAGACTAACTCATGGAGAGACACCTGGGGGCAGAAAACATCACCTGATATCCATGATTGCCTGCTACTCCCTGAGGAGATTTAAGTCAAGTTTCTATCCCATAAATTCCTCTCTCCCAGACTAGGGGTGGGAGGTGAGGGGAGGGGGGAGGGGTAGCATTGCTGAATATCTTAAAGTAACTCAAAATCTTTATTTGCCTTTCTCGAATACCATAAAGGGGAATATTTAGAGCAAGACTTGTTTAAAAGTCCCACCTTTCTTTCCTGCCCACTTCACTCACTTATCCCAACTATTCATGAACCTCTCTCACCTCCAATGCCCTGAAAAACCTCCCCCAGTCCCAGCTCATATAAGTCTCTCAGCCACCTCTCTCCCCTCCCAGTTCTCTATCTCAAAGCCAGAGGGCTGTCCATCAAGGCAGGACCTCCCCAGAGGGCAGGGCAGTGGGAGAGCCTGAGCAGGCCAAGCCAAGGATAGGCTGGGGTCATTCCTCCGGCTGAGTTTTTCCCTCAGGGTAGTTAGTGGTTGCTGGAAGTTGGACTGCAGTGATGAGAAACAGTTCCTAGTGTGCATCTGTGTACCACAGTGTTCTCTGTGGCTTTTCAAGTCATCCCTTCAAGGCGCTTACACCTCTCGTGGGGATTTCGACCCCTATTCATCTCTGAACATTAGGCACACGCCTGAGTCCACATTCACAAATAGGAACCCAAGCGAACAGCCCAGTTCCCTAAGACAAGCTTAAAGAACCATCTCTCAGAAGTGGGTCAGACTTGGAGCTAGGCACACAAAGGTGTAAGACTGAGAAAAAATTTTGAGTCAGAGAAGGGAGGCAGCGATGCCATCTTTAGGAGCTCCAAATGTCAAAAACGGACACATTTCTTGAGTAATATGGTTGTGGTATGTGTTGCCATAGTTTTTTCAGATATTGCATATGCTAAGAGTGCTTCATGTCAGTCTCCCCACTTAGTTTAGAAACTGATGATGACACTAATTTTTTTAGCCCTTGCTGATGACACATCTTTCTGCTGGGAAGGGCATCAGCTTAAGGCTTGGGAATAAAATCATTGTAAAATCCTGAGCTCTTACAGCCCTCTACTGCTGGTAACCACCGTGGGGAAATTTGGGCCCAGGCATTGCCAAGCAAAAGCAGAATTGCTGTCATTTCATGAGAGTTGCAATTGAGCTTGAAATCAGGGATCAGGTCCCCAGTCTGCATGACCTTGGAAAAGTCACTGTGCCTCTCTGAGTTTCAGTTTTCTGGCTTGTGACATGAGGTCTGTGTGTGGCTGAGTCGTCCTGATGGCCTTTGGCTCCCCCATCTCCTTTTCCTGCCTTAAGTTATCATCGCTGGTCTCTGATACCCATATTATCTTTTTTTTTTTTTACCAACCTTGATCCTTCCCTCTGCCACAGAGACATCTGGACCCTGAATATCCCCAGACAGCTCCTCATTCCCCAATCAACCTCTCTTAGAAGCCCAAACCAGGGTTTCTCAACCTTGGCACTACTGACATTCAGAGCCAGATAATTCCTTGTTGGGGGGCGGAGGGCTGTCCTTTGCACGGTAGGACATTAAGTAGCATCCCTGGCCTCTGCCCACTAAATGTAATAGCACCCCCTTCCCCAGTGTGACAACCCAGACTGTCTCCAGACACTCCAAATATCCCGTGGGGGCTGCCCAAATCGCCCCAGTTGAGAACCACTGCTCTAGACAGCTTAGTTTCTGAGGCACAGCTGAGATTTGCAATGACTTCACCACCTCTAGTTGTTAGGTCTCTGCTTTGTGACAGTGTCCTGGCAAATACCTGGGAAGGCCGCACAGTAACCTCAAACCCTGTTAGGACAAAGGATTCGAAACTCACCAAGCATTGAGCTAAACCAGTCATCTCTTTGGCAATAACAAAGGGTCGAATGTTCTGTGCTTATTTTTCATGTATGTGAAGTCCAGATAGTCTCTCCTCGGTGTGAAGTGAATCTTACTTACTCTTTTCCCTTTATTTCCTGTCAGGGTTCTCTCACCTCCTCTTCCTCTCCTCACAGCCTTTCCTTTTATTTTTGTAGAACTGGTCTCACCTGAAAAAGACTTTGACATCTTCTCTCGTTTTTTATTCCCTCAGCTCAATAAAAGTCCCTCAGCATATTTATGAGTAAAACTTAAATCCCAGAAGAGAAAGTCCCTGCGGGGAAGGCAGGTGGGAGGCCTGCTGGGCGGGCTGCGCTCTGAAAACTTCTGAGCTGGGGTTAGGGATGGCAATGGTGCCTCAGGAAGGCTTTAGGCAGCATAACTCCTCATGGCTTCCAGAAATAAAGCTCAGAGGCTCACAGCGTCTTGCCATAAAATTCAATAAATATAGAACGTCAGTTGGAACATTCTACCACAGGAAGAGAGCATCCTAGTCTTTGGAATCTAGTTTAAACGTTAGCTCGTTGGAACCATTCAAATCTATTCTCCATTTTACTTGGAGGCGAAGAGCGTTCCCAGTTGCAGGTTGGAGTGTGTGTGTGTGTGTGTGTGTGTGTGTGTGCACATGCACAGAGCCCCTCTGCTGCAGGCAGGCTTCCATCCCCATCTCCCATCCAGACCTTCCCCTTGCCCACAGAGGGCTTGGTTGCTGTGTCTGCAGACTGAATTCTGACTCTAGGACCAGAGCTTTCAGAGGCCAGAGGAGAACATGAGGAGTTGGGGGTGGTAGGCATGGAGAAGGGCTGAAGGCAGAATGGGGTCAATGCTCTCCTGATGCCATACTGACCCAGGACAGCCTGTGGGGAGAAGGGGTGAGATCTGCTGCCTTGGAGAGTATTCCAGACCACCCTGAGAGTCTGCCTGGGAAAGGCAGGAGGCAGAGGAATGGCTCAGATGGCCTCTGCATGCAAGCCCCTCTGGGCCACTTGTTCTGAGAGGGGGAAAGGTACCTAGAGGGGAATGGGGGGAATGAAGGGGGTGAGGGAAGCAAACAGAGGCCTGAGGGGTCACTGAGCACATAGATGCTGGCACTGGGGCCTGTCAAAGTGGATACTAGAGAACCCCAGCTGAGGCTGGGTGATATGATCAGGGAAGCCTCCCTGGAGGAGGGTGGGCTTGAGCTGAGCCCACACAGAAGAGGAGGAAGATAGTCCAGTTAAGAACAGCATTAGCAAAAGGCAGAATTGAGCATTTGCATGTGCCTCCAGGGCCTGTTAGAAGATCAGACTTTTTAAAGTGATATTTCTTAAAAATTACTAGTAAGAGAAAGGACATGATGGATAATAAGGTTGGGTCCCCTGCTTTTGGTGTTCATGGTGCAACAAAGCCTTACTATATGAACCAACCTAGAAATGACTGAAAGCAGCATTGTAGCAAGATTTGAATAAGGTTATTAGCAGAAAAAGTGTCTCTATTGGCATGCCATAGGCCTCTGCCAGTGGCCAAATCTTGCAGAATTTATTAAAGACTTGGATGTAGAAAAGGAAGACCTGCTTATCAAGTTCCTGGACAACTTATGGCTATATGGTATCACTAATCCATGAGCAGACACAATCAAGATTCAAAAAGATTTGCTAGGCTGGAAGATGCCCAAGGGAACGGGGTGAAATTCAGAAGTGGCGGATGTAAAGCCCATCCCTCAGCTCCAAAACATCTATTGTCTCCTAAGTACAAACAGAGAAGCAGCAGATGCAGACAAAGCTTGCACTTCTCTGTAAGCTTAGGGAGAGCCCAGGAGTGAGGCGGCTGTGGGCTGGGGTCCAGCCCAGAGCACATCACCAGCATGGGTCTGCTCACTGCGTCGTCAGGGCATCCCCAGGATCATGCACTGCGTTTGGGGAACAATATTTTTCAGAGCTCCTGACAAATTGGAGCATGCGTCGGATGGACTCCACGAGGGTGAAGGGTTCAGAAGTCCTAAAACCCAAGGAACTCAGAGGACCTGAGACAGTTGAGTTTAGAGAATACCTAAGGGGAAGTGGTATGGGGCTGTCTCCTAACGTTTCAAGAACTGTGATGTTGAAAAAGTATTGAATTCACTCTATGTGGTTCCATAGGTGGAACCAAGCCCAATAGGTGGATTTGAAGGCGGGAGATATATTGGGTTGGTTCTAATAGAGCAGCACGGAAATGGCAAGGACTTTCCTTTGCAGGAGACAGTGCTCAGCACCAGTTAGATATCTGAGCTGGACTTACATAGGGAAGGTTTCTACATTGTGTGGGTTCGGCTAAGGGGTTTTTATGACCCCCTCCAGTTCTAAGCCTTTGCAAACTCTGATGTAGCGGAAATTTAACAGATGAGTGCTGGAGCAAAGCCAAGGCAAGGGGTATTTTCATTCATTCACTCAGCATTCAACAAATATTTGTTATGCTCCAGGCACTGTTCCAGGTGCGGGGTCTATAGCAGTGAACCCAACAGAGACCTTTAGAAAGCAGATCAGCCTCTGGGGAAGGGGAGGCTGACTGCAAAGGGGCACTCCAGAACTTTTTGGAGCTCTATGCCTTGATCAACCTAGTTATTTACATTTGTCAAAACTCACTGAATTATACGCTTAAAATAAGTGTATTTTATTTTATGTGAATTCTACCTTAATAAAGTTGATTCGACAAAGCCCTGCCCTCATGAACCTTTCATCCTGGCGGGAGGAAAGAGACATTAAGCAAATAAACAGATATGAGCAGCGGTGGTGGTGGTGGTGGTGGTGGTGGTGGTGGTGGTGGTGGTGTGTGTGGCGGGGGAGGGGGCAGTGTGGTTCATGAGAAAGCTTTTCTGGGAAGAAGGCGAGCCTCATGGCGCGGGTTCGGTTTGCCGGGAGGACAGAGGAAGAGCGTGTGTTTCCAGAAATGATTTTGCCCATTCCCTGTCTTCCCCAGGAATATGAGTGCCTGGAGCAGGAAAACACAATGCTGCGGCGAGAGATCGGGAAGCTGACGGAGGAGCTGAAGCACCTGAGCGAGGCCCTGAAGGAGCACGAGAAGATGTGTCCGCTGCTGCTGTGCCCCATGAACTTTGTGCCGGTGCCGCGGCCGGACCCCGTGGCCAGCTGCCTGCCCCGGTGAAGCCTAAGGACCGTCCTCCTCTGCCCAGCAAGGAGCTTTGGTCTTTTTTCACACCTGTGAGGAGGGTTCCCTCCTCATCTGTGTGCAAGAGGACCGGTGGCCAGGCCTTTTCCACTATTTCCTCTTCCTGAAGAGGTCATCTCCTGATCCTCGGGTTGTTTTGCGGCTCATGGGTCTTGCTTCTCCATCCTGGTCATCTCCCCCACAGCCACATCCATGCTAGATGGGGGAGGCACCTTGCCAGGTCTCCTTCTCAGAGCTCTGGGCCACTTCTCACAAGTGCCTGATTCTCAAAGCCTTGAGCGGGTCCAGGCCAGGCCAGAAGACCACCCTCAGAAGTCACTTCACATCCACTTTGGCAGCTAGTAGGTTTCTGCTGTTATGCAGAATCATTTCCTCAAGAATTTGGATAATAAAGATGGCTATTATCTCTTCTTTCCGCCAAGTTCTCGGAATTTAGAGAGACAATACATTTCCTTTCCTGAAGAGGCTGTCTTCTGTCTCCTCAGGTAGTTTTGCAGCTCATGGGTCTTGCTTCCCGCTCCTGGTCATCTGCCCCACAACCTTGCTAGATGGGGAGGCACTTTTGGGAGGGCTGCAGAGCAAAGGCCATCGGGACTTCCCCACCCCAGCTGGGTCATGAAGGGGCTTGCAGACCCCTGTAGGTGTCTTGACTGCAGATGTGCTCTGAGCCCCGCTGTTACTGCAGTTCAGCAGGCTGCTCACCCACCCTACTGCTAACCCCAAGGTGTCCATGCCTGCGGGGCCCCTTGGCTCCACATTATAATTCAGGGACCAATCTCTTTCCATTTATTTGCTCTGTACCCCCAAGGCATAGGAGTCCCTTTGGATCCTCTACTCGGAATAGGGGACTCAGGAGGAGGGGTCCGTGGGGGATGGACGGGGAGGGGCTATATTTTAGAGGTGATAGTGCATCATTTTCTGCCCACAGTCTGTGGACCAGACCTCAACTGCATGGCCTCTCCCAGCTACATGGGAGGTCGGGAAAGGAAATTTAGCCTCATGCTCAGAGTGGGGAAACTGGATTTTGTGACTGTCTGTTAGTCTCTGCCATGGATCTAGCTTTTGCTCCCACCACCTCACTGAAACTGTCCACTTGGAGGTCTGCAGCAAGCCCTGGTTGCCAGAGCTAATGTGGACATCTCAGGCTTTACCTTCCTTTACTTCCCGGCAGCCTAAGATACTGGCTTCTCTGTTTCTTCCTCTCTCTACCTGCTTTTCAGTATAAAGGGGCTGCTCTTGGGGCCTCAGTCACCATCTCTCCCTATACTGATAAGTCCCCATCTGTATCCAGAACCCAGATCTCTCCTTGGGGCAGAACGTATATGCAGCTGCCCATCAGGTTTCTTTGAGCAGACACCCCACAAGTGCATCCCACTCAACATGTACTCACGATCTCTTCATCTTCCCTTTAAACATGCTTCTCAATCTGTTTTTACCTGTTTCATAAAGGGCTCCATCATCCGCCTGGTCAGAAAACTTCCTGTCACATATGATTTCTCCAAGTCCTTCAGCTGTGTCTCCTTAATACCCGCCAGACCCAGCCACTTTGCTCCAATGTGCCAATTGTTTGATCTGCTATGAAGAACTTGATTCAAATTTGCTGCTGAACACAAGGGGCTGCCTCCCTAAGCTGTGAACTCATTGAGGCTGAGTTCACACTTAGGGTTGGGTAGGCCTCCACGTTTGATGACAAAACTGTACATTTGGAGTCAGGGAACCAAAACTAGGGTAGCCCAGGATGTGAGTCATGGTGCTGGGGCCAAGTCCCCTCCAAAATAACAGGAGGTGTGACAAGAGTTCTGAGAACCAGATAGATGATCACTGAGCGTGGATGCTAAGAACATCCTTATCAGGCTCCCATTAACATTACAGGCCGTCTCAGCTCCCCAATGCTCACTCTGAAAAAGCAGAAGTGTTGTATACACCTGGGGAGCTATTATATTATTCCAGGAGGGACAAGGATAGTAGACAAGTTGCTGGGGATAGGATTTGCACGGTTCTATTCACACTGCTGCTGGGTGCCAGGCCCTGTGCACAGCTTCTGAATTAAGCCTCGGAGTGGCTGTTTGTTGGGCTGGGGGAAGGGAGGGAGGCTGAGAAAGTGTCAGAGGGAGGAAGCCCTTCCTTCACGCCCATGCAACCACACCACTTCCTGTCCGCAATCCTCCCTGGCCTTGCAGCCGCCGAGACTTGAAGCCTGGGATTTCCATCACTGAATCAGTCCCCAGTTTTCACCCCAAACCTTGGTTGAGAATAATGACTCTGACAAACAGGAAAGCAAGAAACCCAAAAGCCCCTCTCTTCTTTCCCATCAGTGCTAGGGTTTCCACAGCGGGCGGACTTACCGGGGCTGAGGGCTCTGACTTAGCATGAGCTAGAATAAAAGGGGGAGCCCCAGCTCTCACTGACATGCGTTCACGCCCATGAGATCCAGGAAGACCTGGCAGAGTCATCCATGTCCCGGCAAGAAGGCTCATAACAAAGCCAGGGCACAGGAAGAAGAATGGAGAGGAGGAAGGAGAAAGGAAGTGGAGATGAGAAAGAGGAGGAAGGAAGGGAAGGGGGCGATGGGGACCCTTGAGCTATGAACCTAAACCGTCCTGCTCCTGGGGACGTTATGCTGACGTCCAGGAGGGAATGCTGTTGGAAGCCCCGCCTAATAATACTGCAGATCTTGCGGAGTGAGAGTGGAGCTAGCCAAGGCCAGAATCTCTGGAAACTGATGGATGTTTGGAGTCAAGGAAACATTCCTGGATTCCCCCTTTTGGAAATTGACCAACTTGATGAGATTGTCCCCCCATGCATTTGGGACAAAGGAGATCAATGTGGTCACTACTGTCGCCATGGCCATCGTCACCGTTTGCGTGAGCCACGCTGAAAGCCTGTATTTAGCAGGTGGCAGTGTGGCATGCTTGAAGAACTTGTGTCCTAAATCTGGGGCCGTGCTCAGGGTAGACTCTGCCCCTGGAGACAGATCACCTGCTCTTTTGGGTGCTCTAGCATGACCTTTTCTGGTACGATATTCTTAAGAAGATCAGAAATGTTATTGCAGATGAGAGCAAAGGCCACTAGCCCAGAATTCCGGCCACAACACTTGAGGGAAAGTGAGGGAGAGTCCGGTATTTGCATTCTAAGACACGGTCCTGAAAGGCCAGAGGTGTCCTTGGAACTTCCCTGATTTCCCGTAATAAACCGCTACTTTATCCATCCGTTGCCGTAATCGAGACTCTTCCTGAACTAGTTTTAAGTTCTCCACTCTGGGCGCGGGGCGTCTTGCGCGCGCTCTGAATCCGGCCCCTGCGTGGTTTGAATCCAGGGCCACTCGTTCATGGACCACGCAGGTGCGGGAGCCCAGGGCCTGGCGGCAATCGGGGCGTTCACCGAGCCTCTAGCATCCTTTCCCCTAGACCAGAGGCAAGGCAAAACGGCCCCTTCCAAAAGGTCACAAACCCACAGAAGGCGCGATTTGCCAGGCAGTATTTGAAACTGAGAAAGTGAGAGAGTTTGAGAAGCCATCAGTGGTGGCCAGTGTCCAGAGTTTAAAGAATGGAGAGAGGCGACACGGTGGCTCAGTTAGAGCGTGAGCTCTGAACGGCAAGGTTGTGGGCTGGATCCTTGTATGCCCTCTTTAGGGGAAAAGAAAAAAAAAAAAAAGGGAAGGACCAATGCGTGTATCTCACAGCAGTTCTCGAACTGTGGCAGGGAATTTGTTCATTATTAGTTTATTATTACTGAACTTATTAGCCATTAACTCCTTAGTTTAATCAGTTATTTAATTATTTGTTTATTATTGCAATAAGCCAGTACATTTATTTATAAAAATAAATACATATTTAAAACTAGTAAAATAATTTCTTAATAATCCGTATTACTCACTAATTAGCTATTGTTCAAACAATTCGTTGTTTTGTGTCCATTGTGTGTGTGGCGGGGAGCAGGACCAGCAAAAGGAAGACACACACACTGTAAAGGCCCACCTTAACACACAACTTCTGAAATCTCACCTCCAGACCTGTCTCAGTTTGAGCGGAAGAACTCTCATGATTTTCTCTATCTGGTCAGATTAGGGAACACCCCAACCTCGACTCTAAACAGCTACAGGACAGGGACCCTGTTTTATTTATCCATATAGCCCTGTTTGCTTAACACGGGTGCCCAGCCAGCAGCTGTGCCTAACACTAAAAATATCTGTTTGAATGATTGACGGAATGAACTGCTACTTCTACCCTTAGTCTTCATCTCAGTGAAGTCCCCCGTCACCATTCCAACCCCCTAATAATCACTTAATATTTCTCTCTATTTGTGATGTGGATTTTTCATTGTTTCCCCCATTTAAGAGCATGGGCCTAACCTACTTCCTTTATTCCTATAATTCTTCACGGGGGTCAGGTTTCCAGTAAGTCATCAATGACGTTGCTTCTTTGTTGTTTTGTAAAGGCCCTGTAACAATAGTGTTGAAAGAGACAACAGGTTGATGATAATGAAGGTGGAGGCAGGGAGCAGAAAACACACAGGAAACATCTCTCTTCAGTCATTCTCTTCACTTTTATTTAAATGTTGTAAATTTAGTTATTATATTTTTATTTGTTCGACAACCTTCTCTCTTTAAGTCTTCAGTGTTTGTCTAGGGTTACTTAACTTATCATATGTTAAGTTACTTAACTTATCATAGGTTAAATCATACACAAATCACCACAGTGGCCCTGACCTACAGGGAAAAAAGAATGAAATTTAATAAGTTGGTCTTGTAGGGAACAAGTTAAAGGGAAAAGGACACATTGTCTAGAGGACACCCTCAGGTATTCCAATTTGTAGTCTTTCAGTGTCTTTGAGCCATTTTACAAATCTGTAAAGTGTAGCTAATTGATAACAATGCAAAATAATTTGTAGCGATAGACATGCAAATTATGTCCTGTATATAGAAGGTCAATTTACTTTCCACCCACCCCCTCCTGGCAAAACCAGTTTGCCTCCATTTGCACATTCATTTCAACATTCCAAATCTATAAATATGCCTGTTGTTTGACTTCTCTTTTGAACGGGTTATACCTACCTAGCTCCGCTATTGATTCATGAGCTTTAATCTTCATGACCTTATTTAATCTTTAGTAAGTAAAAATTTTAACACCTGTTCATTTCCTGTTTGAATAACAGCCATGATTTGGCTCTTATTTTTTTAAAAATGGACTTTAAACAGGGTGAAATGATCTTAGTGTTGTTGGCAGGTGTTCATCCGCCCATATGAAACGGGGAAAGCCAGGCAGTGTCACTGAGGGTCACCTCCAAGGAGCAGAGTCTCTGGGGCCACTTCTCCTGTTCTGTCCTGGGCTGTGTAATCCTGAGTCAGGGCCTCATATTTGTTGTTCCTCCTCACTTTTTTCTCCAACTCCAAAGCATCCTTTATGTCACAAGCCAAACGTCACTTTCTCCAGCAGCCTCCTGTCACCCCGACATATTTGATTAGGGGCTCTTACCTTATGCTTCCCTTGACTCTGTAGGTGAGTTGTAGCACAACCTCCCATTCTATTGTTATTGCTCGTTTAAATAAATAAACACACAAATGAATGGACCCTGATGTGAAAGATTCCAGAGCACCTTGTATCCACGTGTTCTGGTGTCTGACTTCAGTGAGAAACCTTCGTGGGCCTAAACAGAATCTTTGTGGACACATTTCCCTTTTCTTCTTTTTCAGTAGGCAAGTCACCTTTTTTTTCTCTTTATTGTGTATTTTCACATGCTTGGAAATCCTTACTAACACCTGTTCCACCGTTTCTTTTTTCACATTTTCCTCTTTTCATTTTTTCCCTCCTTGATCCTTTTTTTAAAATAAACTATAGAGCCCACAAAACCGTTAACACATAACT